ATTCAAACCTGGCGTTAAAATTTCATAAACGTAAGGGTCAGGCCCCTGACGTTTTGAATTCAAAACGCAGAGTTTCAACTCTGCGTTGCAATATCGAAATGAGTCTTCTTCCTCGTTTGCAAGAACCCATCTAGGGTTTTTTTTTTATAACTCGCCGAAGCAAGTTTGACGGCGATACATCTGGGGTTTGTCCAAGAACTCGCCGAAGCAAGTTTGACGGCAACAAAAAGCGACACTTACCACCGACGAGTGGAGCATGAGGCGGCGGCGCTGTTGCACCAGTGGGTCTTGGACGAGAAGCGGCCTTCTTTTTCGAACCCATGGAGGATGAGGATCGGAGAAGAGGAACAAGATCACCGGAGTTGGAAACGAAGAGTCTTCGTTAAAAATCTTTCGAAGAAGAAGAGGCAAAAAGTCGGGTGACTTTTGATTTGACCCTTGGAGGTCTATTTATAGACAGCTATGAGCTGTCAAATCGGGTCGGGATTCTAGGCCCAGAATCCCGCCAAACACGGCCTGTGCGCCTGTGTTGCTTGAGCTTCTGAACGCAGAGTTCAGCTTTGCATTCTAATGCTTCAGCACAGAGAATTCACCTGTGCGTCTGCATTGATTGAACTCCTAAATGCAGAATTCAACTCTACGTTTCAATTCGATAACACAGGAAATTGACATGTGCGTTCTAACTCAACCAAATGAATTCCTCTATGTTTAAAGCCAAGATATGGTCCCAAATAAATAGAGGGAAACTGATGTCAACTACCAAGGTGACTAAAGCCAAGAAGAAACGGGAGACTCCACTGAAGAGTCTGTTGGATGAGTATAAGCAGATTGCAATCAGCCAAGTTCGGCAATGTCTTCAGATTAGACGAAATGAACAATCAATCCACTAAATTTTGGGATCCAAAGTATTCCGAAAATTCGTCCCAGTCAACCGCGAACTTTCGAAAACTTTGGAGGGGGTTCTGCAGGCTATCTAAAAATCACAACGGATAGCTAATCCCTATCAAGCCCCGACAATAGAAGTCACGATCAGACGACTTTCTAATCACTGCAACCGCAGCTCTACAACCGCTACAAACACGACCTCATTTCTGAGATGATTGATCTTGATGGCTGCGACAACAGCATGACTAAAATAGCTTTCGCGCCGACAATCGAAAGCTACAGATAGAGGGCTTTTCACACAGATCGAGAAGAGTTACAATTCGACGACGCTTCCGACAGCTGATGAAAACTCTGTTCAGTGGTCTTCGCAACTAACAGTGAGATTTACAATCTGACGGCTCTCATATCCTATAACAGGCAAAGATCAATAAGCAATAGCCTTTGCAATGTTATAATGGACGAGGTTACAAGTCAACAACCTCTCTCAAACGCAGAAATTCACTTCTGCGTTTCTCAAATTCAAAACGCACACAACCTGTGCGTTCCTCAGCAGACATCGAACTCTGTAACGCAGAGTTAAATCACGAAATGCACACGTAACGTGCGTTCTTCAACAGACTCAACTGTGTCCCAAACTCTCGACGTAGAGTTGAACTTCAACGCACTAGTGACCTGTGCGTTTCCAATTCCAGAACGCATGCGGCCTGTGCGTCTCAAATCTCTAACAGAGTTACGGACCAGAACGCCAACTGGGGTGTTTTGACTTGTTCAAACACAAGCTGAACGGCCTCATAACCATTTATCCCACATTCTGAGGGATTCTCGCCCACAAAGGAGCGGAAATAGGGGTTGGTTACACCCCTTATCCCCCTATAAATAACCAACTTACTCAACTGAGTAAGGGGTTGATCGGTTTCTGGCAGTAAAACCGCATAGGGTTGAGGTGAGCTGGCATCAAAACCGCCCAAGGTCAACAAATCTCAGCAGTTCAACAGCACGAAGAAGGAGATCTTTTGAAGATCAAGGAACTGATCAACGATCAGTTAATCAAATCCCAGAGGATCCTTTCATCAACGGCATAATCCACTTGGCAATTAACCGAATCTTCGGTTCCAACAACTCTTTTACAGAGTTTCAACTCGCTCTGAGTTTTGAAACTCATTTAAGAGTTCGTGATTAAGTTTACAACCCAAATTAATCACATCAAACCAGATATTCGGTTTTCAACAACCCTTATCAGAGTTTTCAACTCGTTCTGAGTTCTTTACACTCGTCAAGAGTTCTAAACTGAAGTCATCAAGCAATTTAATCGGTCTCGTGAGATAGGACGGTCGGATCGTCAACGGAGAGCAAGTTCGACACAATCAATCGAAGGAGGCACTCCATCGCTACCAAGAAGAACCCAGTTTTAAACAAAGGGGAGAATCAAATTCATTCTCCTCTCTTTTGTAATCGGAATCCAAATTGTAATTGATTTTGAGAGAAATACAAGTCAATTTTTCTTTCTTTGTCTTTTTACTGCAAATTTCCAACAAACACCCTGTATGGCTAGCATTCTGTTAATTGAGCCTTCGGAGGTCGATGTTTTAACAGGAGGGGGTCAGACAACTTTTGTGATGGGGGCTTCTTGTCAGTGAAACCCCAGACGCCGGTGCTTTGTTTCCTAGAATTTGATGGGATCATAGTTTCCCCTCGGGGATTCCAGAAATAGCAGCGACTGGACCATCCTGTGAATGGAGGAACCTTCTTGTAGGGAGTGTGCGAGTCGCATGCTTCGACCACCAGTGCTTGCTTCGGCTTTAGTGGTTCGAACTTCTGCCGAGGGGCCAGAGCTGGATTTCCTGAGGAGGTAATTATTAGGAGGCCCTCTGAGTTTTTCCCGCTATCTCATCCTTAGCAAGTAGGAACTCTCTTCTGAAGGTGGTGATGGTCCTAGGAGCCTACCACAGACTTAATCACTGCTCCTGAACTCGAATGAGCTATCGGTGATGGGAGCTTAAGCGATATTAGATCTGATCATAATCCTTGTTAGAGGTGGGGTTCTATTTTGTGATCCGACTCCAAGCTCCTTGGCTGTCCACGAGGTGGAGTTCATCTATAGCGGCGATAAGAAGCTTGTGCTTCATTTTCAAGCCAGACAAGCACCATAGTGGTGTGTCTCCTCTTAGGAGGGCTCTCGGGGTTCTGATAGTGGGTCCATCTTCTGGTGGATGGCCTGCTTAGCAAATACTCCCCAGGAAACTGTTGACGCCCTCAAGGGCTGTGCCTATGTTGGCTCCTCATAGCCATAGGCTAATCCTCCTTAGCTTGAATGATGCAATTTCAGGCTTTTGTTTAGCTTGAATGATGCGATTCCAGTGTTCTTCTTCAAGGATGAACAAGATAAGGCCCTTGCTCAGAATTGGGCATGTCTTCTCAGAGAAGAAAGTGGGCCCTATGGTGGACGTCAAACTGTTAATGTCTGAGATCACATAGTTGAGGAGAGTTGTCCGCTGATGACGAAAAGTGAGAGGATGAGAGATGGGGCCCACTCCTCCTCAGACTTTATGCCTGATCCTTGCACTAGAATTCCTGATTTTTCTGCATAAACAAGAAGAACGAACCCGTAAGAGGGCGGGGCTTGTTTCCCCCATAGTACCTCCGACGGTCAAGTCAATTGGTGATCTTGAGTGGGGTTTGAATGAGAGTCCCAGGACCATTGAGGTCCTCGTAAAGGGGGTACTCTTTTAGAGTTACTAGTAAAAAGAAATTAGCTCAAGAGGGAGAAATGATCCCCACAGTTTAATGAAGGTCCAGCCTCTTCGTAGAGTCCAGATTCAAAGAAGACAAAAAACCTCCTTACCTTACCCTCCTTCCTCCCTTTTATAGTCCTTCACCCCTGAGATTCTAACACTTGGTTTTGACTATGCACAGGAGGGCGGTGGTGGGATGAGCAAACAAGATGCTTAGTCATTCTCCGCTTTACCGATGTCAGCTGGCAACTAGAAGGGAAGTCATTCGAGCACAGGAGAGGATATCTCCAACATATCCCGGATTTTGATAGATGAGGCATGACGGAAGATAGGCTGGCTGTTTTAGTCATTCTTTGCTTTACAGATGTCGGTTGGCGATTGGAAGGGAAATCATTCGAGCACATGAGAGGATATCTTAGTGATATCTGAGAAGTGACTTGTGAGCAGAGTAAGTTTTATGCCTGAGATTTGTCAAAGTTGAGATCTTGATGGGATCGATCAATACTGTAGTGTTGATTGATGTATATCTGAAGGGAGCTGAGTTGGATCTTATCCCCTTAGTAGAGACGAGTTGGTTTCCGAGTCGTCCTTATGATTTGCCGACCAGATAGTCGAGGGAGCTTCTGGCCGAGGAGACAGCCGAGTAGATGGTCGAGCCGAATATATGAGGAGTCATCTCGATTATGAGGCGGGGGGGGGCGACAGCCGAGTAGATGGTCGAGCCGAATATATGAGGAGTCATCTCGATTATGAGGCGGGCGGACTCTTGAGGAGTCGTCTTGATTATGAGGGGTCGACTGATCCAGCAATTCGCATCGGTAAAGATCACTTGTCGCTCGGCGGGTCGATAGATTTGTTCCTGGCTGGGCTTTGGGCCGCTAAGCTGGCTTGGTCCATAGCTCTTTTGAGCCTATGAAGACAGTTTCTCGATATTTTTATCTTTAGATGGCGAATTACCATAACAATATGTATACTAATTAAGAACCGAGTCATGGGTGCAGTAGAAGGCTGCCATATATATGTGTGTGAGATAAAATGAGATGGTGTGATGAGATTTTTATCATGAGCTAGCCCAATTGGCTACCGGATACGATGATCGGTACCGTCCATCCTGATTTGCACTCAATATGATCTATATGTAGAAAAAATTATATCTTCAAATTTTTTTTAATTAATAACGTAGTTGTATGTTAAGTGGGCGGCCTTTTAAGCTGTCTGAAAAATCAACATATTAAACTAGTTTGATTCATATACTATGACACTCCAAATTATATATGTGAAAATTTAACCTTATATATCTGACAATGTTTTGGACAATATGCATGATGCCGATCACGAAATTAATAAACTGATTAGTCTAGCTCACGATAAGATTTAAACTCATCAGCTCACAATACCATCACTGTGTGTTTATAGAAAAAGTTTTTTTTAAGGCCACATATATTTTTATTTATACACAAAGGGATAGCGGTGACAAAGGGGAAATTAACCTTGCCATACGTATACATCCGTCTGCATACATATTTGGCATTGACAAGTAGACAGAGAATCAAACATGTGTAGGCGATGAATAATCCACAGGCACGGTAAGTGAAGATTCGGATGTTTTCTTCTTGCCTCTTTCGCTCTTGCTGTTGTCAGCAAATTTCAAGCTAGACTGATGGTAGCCTTTGTCTTTCTCGCTGGAACTCCATTCAGAGGCGTAGTAGCCTTCTTCAGTGGCGTTTGGTGTGGGCCCGAGGAGCATTCCTCCCCACTGCGGGAAGTGGATGAGGGCGATGAGCAGGGAGCAACAGATGATCATGATGCCCATCAGAGTGATGCCTTTCTCCCTCGAGTATGTGGATCCCTTGAAGAATATGAGCTGGGTCAGGACCGCTCCCACGTTTCCACCGCCTCCCGTCATCCCAGATATGAGCCCCAATGCCCTGATGGGGATCGAGAGTGATCAGTTAGTTGGGGGTCTTACTCCCAGTTAGCCAAATTCTTTAATTAGTAATTACTGATCACGCGCGTAGTACTGGCTGTTTGTTAGTTAGTTAATTAATTAACAAACTGAGAGAGGTTGTAACGTTCAGTCAAGTCGTATGCAGAATATAATTAAGTAGGTAGGGAGGAGTACCGTCTGGAGACGAAAGGGACGACNCCAAAAGTCAAGCCACAGGCAGCCTGAACGAAGAAGGAGAAGAGAAGCATGACGGCCACGGACGAGCTGAGCGTTCCCATCCTCCCAAGCGCCACGCACAGCACTCCTCCGATGGTCTGAGTGATCCACAGAGCCCACAGCCTCCCCCTCATCCCGTACCTCTTTCCCACCGCGTCCGACACCCATCCACCCCCAGGCCTCGATATTATGTTGGCCAGTCCGAAGCTGGCGGCGATCGTCCCTGCTGCTTTCAGGTTGACATCGAAGCGGTCGAAGAAGTACTCAGCTATGATGTTGTCTATCGTCAGCTCCACCCCGAAGCAGTACCCGTACGTCAATCCCAATATCCAACCCCTGCACGCGCACGCACGCACAAATTAATTAATTAACCCGGCCCCGCGCGCCCATGTATATACGTATCAATCGTTCGGGAGTTAATTGAGATAAATTAAGCATGCAGCCGGTTTAAATTAATTAATGGGAACGTGTAATTATGTACTAAATAAACTAATTAATCTGATCCCTTCTCTCTCGATGCGTACATGTGTATAATTAAGCGCGATCCGTACTGTACCTGTAATTTGTTACCCCAGCGAGGAAGACCTTGAAGAGACCATCCTTGTGCTTGTCCCCGGACTTCTCGAGCTTCCGGTAGTTACCTTCAGGCATGTCCTGGCCCAGCGCTAATACAGCGATGGCGCTGACGGTCTGCATTAGGCCCGGGATAAGAAGGCCACCCGCCACGCCACAAACCTCGTCGACCCATCTGAGAATAAGATCGAACAGCAGCAGGCCATCAGAAGCTGCTGCTAGCCCCCACCGCCGAGGTTTCCCCACCCTCCAGCAAGGCCGTTGCGGTTCCCAACCTTGCGTGGAAGAAAACATGCGAGCCTCATCCAGAACTGGCCAGCGAGACAGGAGGCGAGAGCTGAAGCCTGCCCGTGAAGAAGCGCGCGCCAGGAGGGTACGGTTCGCAGGGTGAGTTGATAACAAGCAGGTGGCATAGACGGACTGGGAGTCGGTGATGGGTATGAGGCCGGCGGAGGAAGGGCGAGGCGGCCTACGAGGTCACAGGCGGATCGCCCAACTAAGGAGTACGGGCGAGCGACTCGCCGGCGCGACACGGAGGCGATCTCGCCGGCATTCCGATCTCGGGGGGCCCGGTGAGTGTATGAGGTCTGTCCCGCGCGAATGGACCCAGGGAGGAGGGGAGGGGCCGCGAAGGTGGAGACGAAGCAGGTGAAGAAGGAGAACCATGAGAGGTGAAAGGAGAGCATGTGAGGGGCTGCCAACGACAGCAGCTTGAATTCAGTGGCCTTGCTCTCTGAGTCCACCGACAGCGCGAACTTCCGCTTGGAAACTGTCGCTGATGAGTGCTCCATTTCCATTGCTGACGATTTCTCATTGAATCCGTGATCACCTACTTCTTCCATTAATATGGAATTAGAATTATTAATTTTGTCTGATCCTAATTCCGATACAAACTGATTTTGATTCTCTCGATCGGGAACTCTATATACGTACGTAGAGGGGAAAAGAAAAAAAGGAAAAATCAAAGGTTGTGAGTTTGGGAGGTAGCTTCTTACTTAGGTCTATATATACGGACGGACCGGCTGCTGCTCTGCTCTTTGACGTGGACACACCATATACACGCGATTAAATTAGAACAAAGGTTTTAATCATACATACGTTGTATATATACGTACGTGGAGAGAAACATAATAATTGATACCCATATTTAACTTTATCACTGATGCATGCGGCCGTGATGGAGAACTGGCTATAACCAGCAATTAATTAACCGTACGTATCTAAGTGTGTATAACTTATAATACATCATCAATCATAGTTACTAAATAATTAACCCATCATGTAAGTACGTAATTGAGAGAAAAATACGAAAGAAAGGAGGGGGGGAAATCATGTTTGAGGAAATGAATTTCAAGGGGTTTGATATTTGATGGGGTCTAGAATAGTGGGGGAGAAACAAATATTAAAAGTAATACTTTCCCTCGATTATAACCGCCAATTGTCCAGAAGATGGTTCTGATTTATTTTAGCTGTAATAAATTTGAATTCATCTCTGTTTACAGAGAAAACAAATCACAATAGTTCGTTATATTTCACCATAGGGAAAGGGGGTTCGGTAAAACTGAATGAAGTGTACAAGGACGGCTAATAGTAATGTATTGTTGCTTTCAATTGGGAAAAGGTTGCGAAGAAAAAGTTTTTTTTTTTTTTTTTTTTC